ATATTTTTTGTTATTATAATTTTAATTGTTTCTAAGTTCGATTTCTGCTATTAATATCGTTCACATGATAGTATTTTAATTCTTTTTTTCTTTATTAGAGACCAAATAATTATATTTTTTATAGGATCAAAAAATTAACTATTTTTAGGTTATTCTTACCAAATAAATGTATGCAATTTTATTAATAGGACGTACAATTGTTTGATCTTATAAGTCATTCGATTATATCAAACAAATTTATGTTTTATATATATAAATGTGTTACATTAAGTTTATAAAATTATATTTTCTATTAATAAAATCTCATATATTTATTTGATAAAAATATGTTGATATAGTTAATTTTTTGGTCCCGTAATTTTTTTAATTATTTAGTCCCTAATAAATAAAGAAATAAAATACTATCTTGTGAATAGTATTCAACGACTTGTACTTGAATGACGTTATTTATGGAAATCAAACAAATAAAAAACTAAAACTATAAACCAAAAATATGAAATAACGAATTGTATGAAAATATTTAATTATTTTATAATAAACAAAAAAAGATATTAATAAATAAAAAAGACTAAACCTAAGTTAAATTGAGGATTTTTAATATATTTAGCTTTTGGGACAAAACGACAATAAAGTACAAACTATGAAAATAAAATAATAATAAATTATAAATTATAGAAACGAAAATCGAAATTTCAAATCTACAAAATGGTAATCACAATATTTTATGAAACATAGGGATGGAAATCATAGTTTACTAAAAAATATAAAACAAAAAGTTAAAGTGATCATATTATTGTTTAGAAAAAGGGGAAAGATTAAAAAAATCTAACCAACTTTATCATTTGAATGATTAAGGAGTCGTTTACTAGCTAGACACTTGTTCGGTAAACACTTAACGGTAAAATTCAATACTATTATTTGCTTACTAGGTAAGATTTTAATCAACAAAAATGGATTTCTATGTAACAATTTAGCCGGTAAGAGTCGTTGTCCTCACCTACCGGGTAAGACTCGGTTTTTGTCTCGCTCTTACCGGGTACGTAAGATTCTTGGTCATTGCCATATTCATCTGGTAAGGTAATATAACTTGGTAAGTGCTTATCCGAGTAAGCATTTAGTAAACGGCCCCTAAGTCTTTAATTTTTTTTTTTGAATAAAAACCATATATTAACCTTTTTTTTATTTTAAATGATTAAAGTTCTTGAATTATTTTTTAAATGAAAATACCATTAAACTTTCTCAATTAGAATGATTAAGTCCCTGAATATTTTTTTAATAAATAAACCATCACACTTTTAAATATTAGGATATCCTTTTAAACAAAAAAAAAAAAACTACATTTAACCGTCTATCAAAAGTTCGATTATTTATTTATTTAAAAAAAATTCAGGATCTTAATTATTCAAAATGAGAAAGTTTAATATTTTTTTAATTTTAAAAAAATTGTTCAAAAACTTAATCATTCAAAATGAAAAGTTTAATGATTTTTTCATTCAAAAAAAAATACCAAAGACTTAATCATTCAAAATGCAGAAGTTGATTGAGCTTTTTTTTTTTTGTTTTCGTTGGACCAATTACAACCGTTTGCACCATTTTTTTGTATTAAACTAATGTGAAATTCCTTTTTTTCAACCATGACACTACTTTAACTCCAGATAAAATACTGCCAGTATTGTATATAAATTTGATCCATAAACTCTGTTTACAGTAACTTTATATTATAAATTCTGATCAAAATAGATATATGATTCATACATACTTTACTTCAAACTGATTACCGTTTTCGTTAAAAAAAGTATTGAATATTGATACAGTTTGTGTTGTTTTTGAAATTTGGTGTTAGGTTGGAGATGTGTATCTAAAAGGATCCACAACCGTGATATTATAAAACTATAACAAAAAATATCATGGATTATCAGTTCATGATTGGGGATGAAAGGTTTATAAAATATGGAAGAAAGAGAAAACTGAAATGACAAGGAGAAACTAACGTGACAAAGTCGTGAACCTTTTAAGAAGTTCACGAGTACAAATGCTCTAAGAAATAATATGTTTTTATAGCTTTTTTGTCTTATATTTTAAACTTTATGATAAAAATAAATAACATAATCGTATTCATCTGCTATTGTTAAATTTTTATGAAACTTTGGCTGTGTAGTTGTTCTATGAATGTATCTAACAAATTAACATTATTTAATACTTTAAATACTTAAATTGTGCTTACTGAATAATATGGCTATGTATTTCTCTGGTTTGTAACTTAGTTGACAAATGAGTGTTGAATACAAGACAGATCATGGGTTCGTTCCCAGACTTCCCTAGCCTCAGCTGTTGTGTGAGGCGACAAATGGCCTCTCACATTGATGTTATTAAAGACATGTTTCGTGTAGGGCTAATTGGGATCATTAATAAGTCATTTTCCGACTATTAGTTAGATTACTTTTTTACCTTACTAAAGAATATGAACTTTTTTTTTGATTAACTTGGATATCCAACCCGCTATGCGAGCCGACTAATCCCAGAGTGACCACTTGTTTTGCAGATAGCCCGGAGTTATCGCATTTGAACCTCCGTGGCCACAATGAGATTTTTATTCCTCATTGGATTTGAAACCTGAGATCTCCTGGTACTTTTTGATCTTTGGAGCCAAACTCAAACCAATCAGACATCACCCTTGTAGTTGAATTACTCAATTACTCAATTTATCAGTATGTCTTTTTAAATTATTTTACAGGTATAGTCATTTATCGATTTTTCATTATTTTCAATTCTTTTACTTTGTAAATTTAAGCAACTTCATGAATACTATAAGTGCTCAAAAATAGATTATTATTTTTAAACATAAACATTTTATTTTAAAACAAATATAAATTTCAAAATAATAAATAATAAATTGATTAATTTTTCTAAAAAAAGCAAAAACGAAAAACAGAAAGAAAACAAACAAGGAGCGCATGTGGTGGTGTTCACACTGTGATCCTGTACTTGCGGGAGCAGGAGAAGCACATAAATCTATAACGTTTATGGTAACCGCCGTACAATTCCAAGTTCCTTAAACTTAACGAATTAAGCAAACAACTATGTGGACAGGCTACGACTTGCGAGGAGTACTAGGATGTGTGCGGTACCACATGGCTTACACTTTCGATGCATATTCTAACCTATACATTCTTGACACCTATTCCAATATGACCTGTCCTTGACTCAATTACAAAGATGGTCCTCTGATTATCTTAGAATTACAAATTGGGTTTCTAGAATTCCTCTTTTACGAATTTGGTACATGTGGTTTGTTTTTTGTTATGAATTGGTTCCTTAACCATAATTTCGTTGCAGAAGCTCCGTTTAATCAGGGGTATTTTGGTCATTTTTATGTTATATTTTAATATATATGAATTTAAAAAAGAAAAAGAAATAAAAATGCAAAATGACAAAAATAACTATAACAAACCAAACCAAACTGGCCTACCACCTGAAAAAGTATGATTAGTTGTAAAGTAGATCATATTATATTATTTCTCAATATATAAACATGCATCAGTACATCACTACCTCCCCATCACCTAAAACCAGATTCTAAATAACTCGTTATGGTGTGTTATGACATCAAGGCTTCGCTTCACCACCATGTTAACCCATGTGGCTCCACTTCGAGGCTTGACTTCCGTTGTAACACATCATGGTGTGTCATAACGTGTTACGACGCGTTATTTTGTAAGGCATGGTTTTTTTTAATAGTTTTCTTAAAACAAATAACTTGCAAGATAAATGATAATTATGTACAACACCTAAAACTTAAATAAACATTGAAAGTAAAATATAAAAACCAAAACCTAAACGGGTAATGCTTACTCTCATTTCCGTACATAATGATTTGAACAAGAATTCTTTGAAGACTGAAGAGAGTAGTGAGTAGACTCAAGAGATTTGATCTCGATTTTACACTCTTGATATCATTTTCTTGTATGCTCGATAAATTTGATATAATTGGTTCTTCTTTCCTTTTTAGTTCTTCTAACTTTATATAACGTATAAGTTATTCCACGGATTGTTCA